ATCATCATGGATGTAACAAAGCTGCAGTGATACTAATCTAATTGTTCCAACGCGTTTCAGAGTGATTCCACTCCTTCCTCAGGGAAAAGGGAAGAACTCTGCTTATGGGTGACATCATCTACAAGATTAAACATATTTGTTTGGAACATGTCTCATATGCATAACCACATATAATACCTTGTAATCTGTAGATATACTTACAGTATATGAAAATGCAAAATAGATCATTGGTTAAAAGACATAAATGCTTCAGAAATGTTGCCTCATAAAACTGGGGGCCGAACGAACCGGGACAGCAGAACCCCCCATAAAAGACCTTGAATCACAAGTAATATAAAAAGTAATATATAAGTAATTGAAAACATGTTATATATCACACCAAGGTGTCATATTAATTTGTAAAACGGGGACCCACCATAAAGTGTATAGACCTCCAAGTCAGCACACACCACCTCAAAGTTGTATTTGATGGAAATTCGTGAGAGACACCCCCAAAAGAAAGGGGGAGGAGGAAGAAGGTACAAAACACTATGGCCACACCATGAATAACTGCAATGAATTACTATAAATGTAAGTTATAAACACACGCACTGTGTCCAACAGCGTATATTGTTACTTGAAAAGACATGAACAACCCACCATAAAATATCCCAATGTCCAAAACAGATTCTATATCCTCTTCATGTTGACACAGTGAGTATAATAAAGGGCTTCAAGGCGACAGACACAGGGAGCAAGGATCTTTGTCTGCTGCATGCTGGCAGGGGATAGGCTTTTCTACTCAAGCTGTGGCTGCTTTTGTTTTTTTTTTTTTTTTAAAAGCCAACTGTAAGAGTCTACACACCTTATGGTTGGATCTTTTAATGCACCTGGAATGCGTTTAGATGGTTAAAGTTGAACATTCAATTGGGCTTTTGATTTGGATTTGAGTTGAAATGAGCCATAGGGAACACCCCAATGCTTCTAACATTTATCACTTTAACAGGATTGTTCCGGGAGTGAAGTGATATCTTTTACTGGCAAACTGAAAATGGTAAAAAACCACATGCAAGGGTATCATTTTGCCTCTGTATATAACCATAAAGTATTAACTCTTCATATAGCCTTTCAGAATCCATCTATGGCTAATATAGCACATCCCTTCGCTGTACGGGTCCTAACGCAGGTGTTTCAAAGATAAAAACCTTCTACAAGGCTGCACAAGCAACATCGGAGGGTGATGAGACCATGGGGTTGATTTACTAAAGGCAAATCAATTGTGCACTTTGCAAGGGCATTTGCTCCAGAGCTTAGTAAGGCGAAGCTCCAGAGCTTAGTAAGGCGAAGCTCCAGAGCTTAGTTAGGCGAAGCTCTGCTGACTTCCATTATCCAATCGTGTGCAAGCAAAAAGGCTGTTTTTTTTTATTTTCTATGCATATGATTGGGTATTCTTTGCGAAGTGAAGCTTCACCTCAATTACTAAGCTCTGGAGCAAATGCCCTTGCAGAATGCAACTGCACTTTTAAAGTGCACATTTGATTTGTCTTCAGTAAATCAACCTCTATATGTGATTCCTGAGTCATTGGTCTGGGGTCTAAGTTCCACCCGTATACCTCCTATCCTGTAATCACAGTAACAAACCTGATGCAGGGGAGGGTTAGGCAGGAACAGGATGAGGAGCTCTCTTCAGTCTACACAATTCTCAGGTGTTTAAGAAGGGCCAGAAATTGTCCCTAATACAAGGGTGACCTCCACATTACACACCACACATAGTCCATAGAGACACATGCAGCCTGGCCGGGGACGGATGGTCAGCAAGGTAACAAATGCTGACGCGCCATGGCTCAATAGGACGTAAATGGAAGATGAGGCCAGGATACTGCAACATAAACTACTGAAGCCATAAGCAACATTCTAACTAACATTAAGGAAATCCTTTCTACACACAATACCAAAGTACACAATTCTATACCTTTCTATTAAATTATTAATGAAGAATGTGACGGGCAGCAGATGGCCAGAAAATATTTTATTTTTTATTTATTTTGGGGCGCAAAATGCTCCACATGTATCAGTTTGGATAACTGAGGTAACAAAGACATATTTATTTTTTTATGTAGTCATTAAATTTTATTTTACTTATATATAATATATAAATGGATGACAGTCCAGTGTCCATGTTGTTCTTGTGATAAAGCTGCTGAGGGTTGTGTTTCTGTCATGTTGTACGTGTGCACTCTGTGTCCAGTCACAATGCGCGGATAAGTGACAGAACTGTGACTGGAAAACATTCAATTGGTGCAACTCTCCTTGCATGTTCTGGGCCCTGTGTGGAGCCGTGGGGCCTGATCTCCTGAGCCTTCCACGTCGTCCTGCCACTGTCTGAATACACTTTAACGTGTACATAAATCACTGTAGAGACTAAACAGGAATGCCGATACTAAGAGACACTGTGCTGAGTGATGGAGATGCCTATTTAGCTCCTGTAGCATCTGAAGAAGCCTACTGGCCAGTTAGGTGT